CCTTTTAAGTGAAACACTTAGCTACAAGTCTGACCTTATATCTTTCTATAGTATCGGATGCATTTTTTTTTTGGTCTTATAGATCCATTTATAACCAACGGCTATATGTCCATCTGGCAATTCAACGAGATCCAAAACTTGGTTTTTAGCTATAGATTCCATCTCTTCTTTCATGGCATCATACCCAAAACTTGAGTTTTTTCCTTCAATGGCTTGTGAAAACGAGCTAGGATTATTGTCAAGTCCAACACATATATTGGACTCTTGAAGATATACAACATAATTGCAAGAAATTGCTGGTTTCCTTATTCTTAACGATCTTCTTATACCTACTATCTCATCTTGATTTTGCATATTTTGAGCAATTATAGGTTCAGCATCAAGTGGGAATTTCATTCTGCATTTTCTTCATGTAGTAACGATTGTTCTTGAGTTGGTTCATTTCCATTTTGTAATTGAGTTCTTTCTTTCGAAAGGAATCAATATGTCTGGATTGGAAGATGACCTAACAGATTCGTTTTTTCCTGAAAATCAATATTTCTAGGAAACTCACTCCCACTCATTTCATGATCCTCCAGAAATTTTTCATTTCTACTTTCGACAATCCTTGGAGTGTGCAAAGGACAATATAATCTATAGCCCTTGGAGTTCACTGGATAGCCTGTGAAAAATCCACTAACTGTTCTCGGTTCCAATTTCTTTATGTGAGGATTGAAACCCTCACTTCAACTGGACAATCCCAAATGTGTATATGGCAGACTAAAGAGATAAGATTACATTTATTTTCGTGTCATTTCTTATACTTGAAACAATTATTCTTCATATGCCATTTCTTCTTGCAAAAGAAACATACATCATTATTTCCTTTTTGCTTCACTGCATCTTGTTCTTCATTTTAGGACCGTATTTAATCTTGTTCTCATTCCCTTTTTCATGAGTTGTTAGATGGGCAATTTCCAGCTTTTCATGCTTTAGCCTCTCTTCCTTATGATATTTTGAATGGACCATACTCTGTAGGAAGAGTTTAAAATCAGATGAACATGGAATATTTTAACTAATATATCTATCAGATTTGTGACAGGAATGCTCTATTATCATACTTTTATATTGATTGCTTGTACCGTCTCTGTAGGAGAATGATTCTTGAGGTACCGAAGAGTTGGCCCAAGGAGCATCTTTTGGGGCTTGACAAACTTGGCTGGCAGGTATGAGTATGGTTAGCTAGCTAGCGAGTAAACTTTGAATGATTGAGTTACTACACATATTTTGATAGTGTTATTATGATAAAATGTTGTCTTTTCAAAAAAGCTAAACTTGATGACATACCAAGATTAAATGGAATATTCATGTCCATTTTCGGCCTTTGACGATGCTCTTATTAGTATCTAAATCAAAGCAAATATATTAACTAATGTTCATATTCTACTTTGATTAAAATTTTAACAATTATATCTCTATAAATTGGTATTTTGTAATGCATAATATTGACAAGAACCTCATGGATTTCAAGAGCAAGTACTTTCGTAAACACTCTTCGATTCACATTGCAATTATAGGACGCAGATACTCTGGAGTTGAATTCTCTGCCACTATATCAAAAAAGACTACAAACTAAAGGATTTGTACAGATAATTAATGTTGAAGAAAAAATCTTGCCAGATGTTTCACTGGACAACACGAAAACTCATTTCAAAGTAAGATACCAATATTTTATATATTACTTAATCTTTTTTTTCCTGGATAATAACCAAGTCACTTTATTAATACCATTAACTCCCAGGCTAAAAAAATAATTTTCATCCCATACTTTCTCTTACCAACTTCTCAGATAATGTCCTTCATATCCATCAGTACAAGTTTTCAGATTCTTTTTTAAATTTTACTCAAGATTTAAACAAAAAAAAAAAGCTAAATGAATCTTTCATTAGCGTACATTTTGTGCAATTATTTCACTTCCAGATTAGATTTATATAATAAAATAATATATTTTCACTTTCAACAGTGCATCCTATCATTCATCAATACAAATTTGTCATTCTCATCTTTGAAAGAGCATGTCAAACATGCCTTCTTCCACCAACTTCTGACATTTAGTCCTTTTTTCTACATTAGCACAAGTTTCATATTATTTTCTTAGAGCTTGTTTGGTAGGGATTTTTTGGAGGAAAAATTGATTTTGAATAGTGATATGATGGGAAATGTGTGGTTGAAAAAGAAGAAAAAATTATTGATGTGATGGAAAATATTATTTTATTGAAGAATGTGTGGTTGAAAATGAGAATTGATTTAGAGAATCNTTGAAAATGAGAATTGATTTACTGTAGAAAATGAGAATCCCTACCAAATAGGCCCTTAATTTCAATGAATATAATTAATAATTTCAAATTTGTACTTTTCCAAACATTCAAGTAACATATATTCTTTCATCAATTAGTATAATATAAAATAAAATACAACACTCTGACTGCACTGTACTACTGCATTTTTCTTTTTACCATTCATTCACTGTATTATATTACTGTGCAAACAGTAATACACAATAGCTCATATATATATATATACTCACATATACCATTTGTTTCACTTCTACAAACATCTTGAACTTCTTCTCTTATCTTAAAATCTTAAGCAAAACAAAGAAAAAAAATCCTTCTACAATCTGCTCTTAAGTGTAATTTTTTTTCCTCTTGTTCATCCACTTCTAATATTTTACTGTTGTAATTCACATTCTTCGTTAAATTATAGATGTTGCTATCTTTCTTATTGTATATTCTTTTGTATACTATATTTTCTACCTTAACTTGCATCATGTAAAATAGAATTTCAAAAAGTTTATTGGATTAACATTTGTTTTGATTTCAGTAAATAGCTACATTTTAGTTTTCACAATTTCTCTTTTATATTTATTTATTTGTAAATATTTTAGCTCACATTGTTTCTACAGAAATATGGACAACAATTTCCAACTTATTCGAGATATTGCTGCTGAAGCCTCGGGATGGACTGCAAAAGTAGTCGTTGCAGAAAAAAGTTCACCAATTTTTTTCGAAAAGGCTCAATGAAGTATCAAAAAATCGTGCTTTTGGACTCAGAAGTAAGTACTTCGGTTTAACACTGACATTTCCTTATAGTTTTAGTTTTTCTGATGATGTATGAATATGAATGTATACATATGCATGAGAGATATCCAAAAGTGTTATTTCTCAAAAAAAATTAGCTGCAATTAAACAAATAATTTTATACTTAACTGCCCAAATAATACATGACATTCTAATTTCATTTTATACTTTCTAACATAGGGAACAAGAGGTCCACCAACTTTATATGATTACCTTATAATGGCTTACAAGGACAAATTGATATTGGGCAAGACTCAGTATTAAATGCATTAGTGAAAATTGCAAAGTCTAAATACTCTTCCAGATTAAACGAAATGGATTGGACCATTTCAGGAAAGACTAGAGTACAAGAAATCAAGGAAGTTCATGGGACACTTTCAATGTCTCCATACAATTTCACTGACTTCCAAGAACTTGAAAAATACATGGATTCCAATGCAGATATAAGCAATTTATCCAGTTCTTTAATCTTTTTTCTCCAGATTCATTATGCGAATTACTTTCTCTATTCTCACATTTCGTAATACTTATGAAAATTACTAATAACTTTACCGACATCATTGGAATTGTGATTGATATGTGGCCTAAGAGGCTTTTTCAAACGAACTTTGAAACTCAAAGTCTTGTACATGATTTAGTTCTTATCGACAAAAAGTACAACTTCACTTTTCCTATCCTTATTTTATACTTGCTTATTCCTTTTTTTTTTTATTGTTTAAATTGGACTTTGTTATTTATTTCCATTTATAATATAATGTAGATCATATGTTGTAGGTTTGAAACAGTTCTTATGACAAATGTGGGAAAACTTTGTTGACAATGAATGTAACTACATTTCGGAAAATCGAATAAAATAGTCGGTTGTTATAGCCAAGCATTTGAAAGTCTCCTTTGAAAATTCAAAGAATTGAAAAGCATTCAGCAGTTGCAGCATACAGTAAACTTTGTTTCTTGCTTTTAAGTTAATTCTTTCAAAGAGCACGTGTTTTTTTATAGATTGACGGAAACCTAATTTTTTATGCAGCAATGGTTCTTTTGGGTTAAAGCAAAATCATGTATCAAAAAAATTCTTCAATCATTCTAGTACATGAGTTGCAACAATCGCAATAAAGAATCGCATGCTAATCTCGGAGATATATACCCATGTTGCTACTGCAAATGTCCTAATGCAACTGCAATTCTAGGGTAACAACTATTTATTTTCTTTCAGATTAAAAAGAAAAAAAATCATTTTCATAGTGTCTTTCACATATTATTATACATCGCATACACTTCTACTTGCACCATTTACGTATTTTCTTAGCATTCTTTAATTAAAAAAATTAATCTTTCTTTAGAGCAATGGTGTACTTTGAGTTACAAGACTCGACTGGATACATCAATGCAACTGCTATTGGAGAGCCAGATGAAAATGTCTTATTATGAACTGCACAGAATTTAATGGAGCACACATTGTCGGTATGCACATATATTAAACAAATAACACTATTTTTTTCAAACATTAACAGTTTTATAATTACTGATACTTTTCTTCAATAGGATGTTGAGACAAACATTTTTCACTTCATATGTACAACAATAGAAGATGACGAGGTTTTCTATATAAAATATTGTATATGTATATAATTTTCTCATTTATTCCTTCTATCTTTCTTTCTGTTATACCGTTAGTGACATGGCACAAATTAGTTAGCATCTTTTTTGGTTTGATTTGTATAGTTCTTAGTTAGTTAGTTAGTTGTGTAAAGCTCTATGTATACTTGTAAACATTGATGAGTTATTTTTAAGTGAACGATTTCACTATCATATTTTCCTCCAGCTTCATTGTTCTTTATCTTTTAGAATTTGTCATGGTATCAGAGCTTTAGTTAGTTTCCAATCATGGCTGCTAATCCTCAAGCTACATCTGCGACTCCAGGAGATGTTCAACATCCAACCTCCTACCCGCAACCATCAATTCCATTAGAGAATCCTACTGGTGATTTTTCCATTCATGTGCAGGTCAGTGTTCAAGTTGTGGACATCCTAACAGTCCATACTACCTTAACTATGGCGAGAATACTGGTACATAGCTAATCTCCATCGTCCTCTCTGATGAAAACTACTCCACTTGGAGCAGAGCAGTAAATTGGCTTTGAGTGTTAAAAATAAAGAAGTTTTTATTGATGGCTCAATATCTAAGCCAGATTTCAATGATCCGTTGTATGTTCCGTGGAGAAGGTGTAATCATGTGGTGTCTGCATGGATAATCAATTCGATTCCCAAGGAACTTTATCTCGGGGTCATGCATAAAGATTCAGCACGAGAAATTTAGCTTGAGCTGTATGATAGATACAATCAAAGCAACGAACCTCGTATTTACCATCTGCAGAAATTGATCTCTTCAATTTCACAGAACAATGGATCTCTCAACTCTTACTTCAATAGATTGAAAGGACTTTGGGAGGAACTGGCTCATTACAGGCCACAACACCATAATCCTATCACTTTGATGATCACATTATGCAATTTCTGATGGGATTATATTATTATTATACTGCTTTCAGAAGCCAAATCCTTCTAATGGATCCAATTCCTTCTTTGAATCGTTTTTTGCTCTAGTTTCTCAAGAGGAGAAACAAAGACAAATTACATCTCTACATCAGAATGTGGAGTCTGCTGCATTTGCTAGTCACAGTAGCTTCAACCACAACAGTTCGTCAAAAATATGAGTAGCAACAATCCAGGACAATGGATGGATATGCCTATCTACAGTTATTACTACGTCACTGGTCACAAGAGGGATAAATGCTACAAACTCCATGGGTATCCTCTAGGGCATCAACTAGCTTCAAAATTCCCTGAAAAGGCATCAGTACATCAAGTTGATGCATCAAACAATTCTGAGATACTAACCAATCTCAGCCATGTTACTATTACTCCTAATCAATGTAAACATATCATTTCTATGATGAAACCTCAACTCGAAGCTTTCATACCTTCATTTACTGCTTCTTTCATTACTGCATCTATAAATCATGTTGGGGACTTACATGTTACATCAACTAAATCTCCATCACTGCCTTCTGCATCGACCTTCTCATGTAGTATTTTAGTATGTTCTGTTCACACATATATAGAGAACACTTGGATAATTGATACTAAGGCAACGGATCACATTGTTTGTTCTGTCCAGTAACTCACAACCACCGTAGCCACTGTTAATGGGAATGTCAAATTGCCTAATAGTAATGTTGCAGCTGTTACATACATAGGAACAGTCCAGTTGTCAAGTGATCTTACTTTGACAAACGTTCTATGTGTTCCATGTTTTACTTTTAATCTAATATCTGCAAGCAAATTGGTTTCAGTTCACCACTGTTGTCTGATTTTCATGTTTGCTTTTTGCTTCATTCAGGACCTTTTGTCTTGGATGACGATTGTGGTAGGGAAAAGTGAGGGTGACCTTTACCATTTGCAACTCCAACCATCTCAACAACAACATCAAACTTCACCATTCAATACATCTAAGTCTGCTGTCAATATCACCTGCAATCATTCCTTCGATCTCTGGCATAGTAGACTTGGTCATATTCCTAGCTCTAGAATCGCTATTATCAATAAATTTGTACCTGAAGTTTGTAGTAAAGTAGGTTTTCATTGTGTCATTTGTCCACTTGTTAAACAACATGTATTACCTTTTCCTGTTAGTACACATGTATCAAAAACAATCTTTGAATTGATTCATGTTGACATATGGGGACCTTCTCAATATCCTTCAATTGATGGTTCCAAGTATTTTGTTACCATCGTAGATGATTATAGTAGGACTATATGGACTTTTCTTATCAACAACAAATCTCAAACCAGAAGCATCATTACATCCTTTTACAATCTGATTTCTACCTAATTCAACACCAAGATAAAAGCAATCAGATCAGATAACGGACCAGAGTTCCACATGACAGATTTTTATCAATCCAAAGGCATCATTCATCAATTAAGTTGTGTAGAAACCCCTCAACAAAATGGAGTGGTTGAACAAAAACACCATCACCTCCTTAATGTGGCCAGATCTTTAATGTTTCAAGCCAATCTCCCTATTCAATTATAGGGTGATTCCATTCTCATAGCCACATGCCTTATAAACAAAATTCCTTCTCCTAAACTCTCTGAAAATTCCCCTTACGAGCTTCTCTTCAACACAAAGCCAGTCTACTCTCACTTGAGGATATTTGGATACTTGTGTTATGCATCTACACTCAAGAGAAATAGGACAAAATTTGATCCTAGAGCTGATGCCTGCAATTTCCTTGGCCATCCCAATGGAATGAAAGCCTATAAGTTTTTCAACCTGACTTCTCAAACATATATCATATCAAGGAATGTTGTTTTTCATGAATCTGTTTTTCCTTTCCATAGTATTCCATCAAAAAATCCTTCTACCAATAGTAACTCACCACTCTTCCTCAACAACAGCATTCATTTTCAGCATCTTTCAACTTCCATCACTCCAGACTTATCTCATCCTTCAATTCCCACTGAGGATCCTTCACCTGCACACTCACCCGTAATGTCTCAAACAAACTCTGCATCACCTCATCAAACCCCTAACTTGTCCACACCTCCACTTAGAAGATCAGAAAGAACTCATAGACCACCTTCATATCTTGAACATTACCACTGTAATTTGGCTATGAACAATGAATACCAACCCCAATCTGACTCCAAGGAAAATATTCCACCTGAAGGTGGTAAATAATATGACATTTCAGCATATGTTGGTTATGACAATTTGTTTCCTGCTCATAGAGCTTTTGTGATATCCATTTCATCATCCTCTGAGCCAACATCCTATTAGCAAGCCTCCAAATGTCCAGATTGGTGTGCAGCAATGGATACTAAGTTTCAAGCCTTAGTTAAAAATAATACTTGGACCTTGACAGTTATGCCTCCTCATAAGACCCTCGTTGATTGTAAATGGGTTTACAAAATCAAATACAAAGCAGATGGTGGAGTAGAGAGAAAGAAAGCAAGACTGGTTGCAAGGGGTTTCACATAACAAGCCAGGTTAGATTATCAGGATACTTTTTCCCTGTAGCAAAGCTAGTCATAATTAAACCCCTCTTAGCAGTAGCTGCAACATAACAATGGAACCTATTCCAACTTGATGTGAACAATGTTTTCCTCTATGGAGATTTGGAGGAAGAGGTATACAAATGCATGCCTCCAGTTTGAAAGCTAAATAAGTCCATCTATTGCCTCAAACAAGCCTCCAGACAATAGTTCAACAAGCTGTCTAGTTTCATTCTATCTTAAGGGTTTGTTCAATCCCAGTCAGATCATTTATTTTTTACCAAACTCAATGGCTGCTCATCTACCATTCTATTAGTCTACGTCGATGACATCATCATTGTTGGAAATGATATGACATATATTGATCAGTTTAAGAAAATTCTGGATCAACATTTTAAGCTGAAAGATCGAGGGGCTCTGAAGTTTTTCTTGGGTTTAGAAGTGGCTAGAAACAACACTGTAATCTTTGTTTGTCAGAGGAAATATTCTTTAGAGGTATTGGAGGATGCAGGATACTTAGGTGGCAAACCTGCTAAGACTCTTATGCAACAAAATTTGAAACTCACTAAGTCAAATGGTGAGCTAATTCCTGATCCCAGCACTTACAGAAGACTGGTAGGGAAACTTCTCTATCTCACCATTACCAAACCAGACCTTTCTTATCCAATTCAGATTCTTAGTCAGTATATTGGCTAACCTAGACAACAACATCTTAATGCTGCCTTACATGTGTTGAGGTACCTAAAGGGGACTGCAGGACAAGGTCTATTCTTTGGGAAGGATTCAGAGGTCCAGCTTAAAGGATTTTGTCATGCAGACTGGGATGCATGTTCAGATACTCGAAGATTAGTCAGAGGGCATTGTATCTTCTTAGGCAATTCCTTGATTTCATGGAGCTCAAAGAAGCAAGGCACAGTGTCAAGGTCTTCAGCAGAAGCTGAATACAGAGCTATGGCTGCTACTGTGTGTGAGTTAACTTGGCTGCAATATATAGTTGCTGATTTGGGAATTAAGAACAAAAAACCAGTACCCTGTTCTGTGATAATCATGCAGCCATACATATTAGGGCAAATCAGGTGTATCATAAAAGAACAAAGCATATTGAGCTGGATTGCCATGTGGTTAGAGAAAGGATTCAAGAGGGAAAAATTAGAACCATGCATTTATGTACTAAAGATCAACTTGTAGACATGTTAACCAAGTCAATTGGAGGATTAAGGTTCAAAACATTGCTAAGCAAGACAGGAGTTCATAACATTCACCATCCATCTTGAGGAGGCGTATTGTATATGTATATAATTTTCTCATTCATTCATTCATTCCTTCTCTCTTTCTTTCTGTTAAACCGTTAGTGACATGGCACAAATTAGTTAGCATCTTTTTTTTTTATTTGTATAGTTCTTAGTTAGTTAGTTAGTTAGTTAGTTGTATAAAGCTCTATATATACTTGTAAACATTGATGAGTTATTTTAAGTGAACGATGTCACTATCATATTTTCCTTCAGCTTCATTACTCTTTATCTTTTAGAATTCGTCATGTACAAAGAGAACTAGACTCAGCGTAGTACAAAGACGATGTTATATTTATGATGGATTCAGTATCATCGATAACAAAGAAAATGATCATGTTTGTCTAATGAAGAAACTCCTCCTACACCAACAGCAAAAAGATTCATGCTTCAGTCACTGGAAACAGCCACTCCAATCAAGAAGAAAATTGAAAAAGGACAGTGATGGAACCAAGAGTAAAAATTGAAATCTACTACGCAAAGACATTTCCAATTTTGAAGATGAACACAATGATGTAAATGAATTCATAATATTTTTGTTCTGAATCTATGCTGTCGATATGCAAGAACAGTTCATATGTCTGAAATGCCCAACTTTTGTTATCTTTTGTAAAGTTCAACTTCTCTTGTAATCACATCCTACTAGAATAAAGAAAATTACTAATGTGCACATGTATCCTCAGTTGATAGATTAGTGTATATTAAATAATTTATCTGAAGCACCTTCTTTTTTTTTTTTTTTACTTCTGAAACCCTATATAGCACTACACTTACCCAACAACATTCCCATTTAATGTATGCAACTTCTTCATTCTAATGACAAATATTTGTACATGAATGATTTACAATTATATATATCCTACTATAATAAAAAAGTCAGTTTTGGGATCACTGTAGATGCAACAGTAAAGCAATGAGATGTTACTGTTCATTTTTCCAATTTTCACTCCTCCGGTCCTCCAATTTTCATTACTATGTAAAAAAAAAAAGGCAATTTTCACTGCTTTGTTGTATATTTTGTTTTTCTATTTTGAGGAATTTGATTTTATATGTTGGAAATTGGTTCCAGGCACCTTATCTTAAAAAAAATCATCCTATAATAAAAACGCCAGTTTTAGAATTATTGTAGATGCAACAGTAAAGCAATGAGATGTTATTGTTCATTTTTAAGCTTTCACTTCTTCGATCCTCCAATTTTCGCTACTATGTTAAACGAAAAGAGGCAATTTTCATTACTTTGTTGTATATTTTATTTTTCTATTTTGATTTTATATGTTGGAAATTGGTTCCAGGCACCTTACTTTAAAAAAAAAAAAAAGTCTCAACAAGAGGAGACTTTTTTTTCCCTACTATCCCTACTATACGTAAAATATATAAAAAAGGGGAATGAGAAGTGTATTGTAGATGCAACAGTGTGAATAAAACAACATTATTCTTGTCTGTACATTTTTTCCTACTTTTCTCCATTTCTTTACACATCGTCCATGCATCTTTACTTCTTCTCACACGCCTCTTACATCCACCACAATTCTTTTTCTTCTACTATTTTTTGTGTATGTATTCTGCTTCATGTTGAATAATGGTAATATATGTTAGATATTTTTCATCATTTTGCATGTGTTATCTTTTGTTTTGCGAATGTTTTGCCATCCCAACTAGTGTTTGCCGCTACGCAACGGAGATCGACCTGTTCTCTTGGCATCAAGAGAATTTTATTTTTCAGAAGTCTTTGAATATGTATGTTTCTTCCAACATATGTGTTCATTCATTTTAAGGGACACACCTATTCAAAAG